AAAAAAAAAGGCCCCGACTTCAGGCCCCGGAGTGGAAAGCCGCGCCTACTAGAAAATTAAAAAGCCCTCCACTTGATCGCCGGTACGCGCAGCCTCTCCCGAGAGATCCTCTTCTACACTCGCCACAGTGCGGCGCGCTGTTCGTAACGCTGTTGCGTAAACGTAACGGAATGCGCACAAGTGTTCGTCAAGTGCTCCAGCATGTTGCCGCTCGGCGGCAAGTTTAAGTGCCATAAAAATAGCTCGGCGGAGGAACGGTTAACTTCTCGCTCCGAAGCTTTTGCGAATGCACCGTCGCGCGGTGAGACAGAGACGAACTGAGATTACAGCCGATAGTTTTTACTATTCGCGCGATCGCCACACACACCGGACACTTTGGTATGTCGAACCTCGTTGATATGCGTCTACCGGTAGACGTGTCTCGATTACACCCTTCCATCAGAGGTTCCCAATTGCGTGCACACACTCTCTCTCTCTCTCTCTCTCTCTCTCCTTGCTTGCCGTGGATCCTCGAATCTTTGCGTCTTTCGATTTTTCTTCGTCTGATCCTTCTCTCTCTGCAAAGAGTGTTCCATCGGTATCGATACAGGCGAGAAGAGAGATTCTACGTGGTAAGTAATGCAATTTTTTTGCAAGATGCTTCGTTCGTTCGAGAAAATCGAGTTTGAAAATTTATCGAGCATACTGGAACTTGATCAGTTCTAAACGCGACAGAAAAGAATAATTAACGGGAGATTAGTCTACGAACAAAATGAACGAAATGAGTAGATTTGTTAGAGACACACCTTGTATATTGTAACATTTATTTAAAATGTATTTCATAGGTGGTCTAAACTCTTGAATTTTTCTTTCTTTTCTAAAACACAGTTCCCGAATGTTTGTTATAACAAGAAGTTGAAAATCTTCGTCTCCGATCATTGAAAGCAGTCGTACGAGTTACATTTCTTAGAGAAGAAATTTTCCAGACCCTGGCTGAAAGACTCTGTGAAACGTTTTTTTACAAAATCTTCTCTGCCACGCTGTAACATTGGCAACCGCTGACCGAGAATGTACCGCCATTGAACGGTGTGATTTTCTAAATACCGGTCGTTATACGGTTGTGTCACGTTGTATCTTCCGTACGATCGTCGTACGAAAATAGGCCGGATTCGCTTCGAGGCAATCGCGACGACTCACCTGGTGCAAACGAAATGTTCGCCGCAATGGTTGATCAACCAG